GTTGATAGAACAAGTGCAGTAAAGACGAAGTCAGAAGCGTCAAGGTCCTCGAGCAGCTGAGCGGTCACAGTACGAGCAGTCACAGCAGATCTCCGGATGGGACGCCTAGAAGGAGACGTCAGCACGGCCGAAGAGACGGTCTGAGAACATTCACAGCCGGCGTCACAAGGTCGGTCGGTGTAGTGGATACACTAATGCCTCGAGAGGGAGAGACGTGAGCGGATCGAGGACCAGGTGACGACCGGGAGTGCCCAGCCTCCGTTGATACGACGCCAAGTGGTACGCTTGACTGGGGCAACTTAGCTGGGCTAGGTGAGGTCGAGCCTGGGGCACAAACACTCGTAGCCGGGACAGGCAGTGAAGCCATGGCATCCAAAGAGGACACCGACGATGATTGCGTAGCCACGACTGACGACGTCGACAGAGGACCAGAAAACGGAAAACTCGCCAGAGTCGTCCAATCAGACGCAAGAACGGTGTCGTCGGCAGGCCCAGATATCTCAAACTCGTACTCAGCTTCGCTCGAAGCAGTATCTTCGTCTTCAGAGTGAGCGGAGACAGCTGACTGTGTAGCGGAACTCAACTGAAGGTGATGAACCCTTTTCCGCCGAGTCCGACGGCGAGATTTATCAGAGCGGGGTTTCCCACCATCGGACACGGTCGCTTGAGGAGAACCCGAACGCAAAAGCGCACTGAAAGCCTCGTGCCCCCCCCCCCAGAAGTGGACAAGCGTACAGCTGAGGCGGATGCGGCACCGGCGAACGGTGACGAGGACCAGCAGCAGCCGGAGACTTTGGGTTTGCATAGCGCGGAAGCCGCTGCGTCGACGTCAAGTCCGCCAACGGAGTACGATGAAGCTGGGTGAGGGTCGGCACGGGATGATTAGCAGCCGTCGCTGAGCTCACATAGGCGACCTTCGCCAAAGAGGTCGTAGAAGAAGCCGGACCCGATGGAGGTGCAGAATCCCGTGGTTGAATACTAGGACCAACAGTTGGACCAGCAGTAGAACCCACCGCTGAGGCGTCTTGGCGAGGCTGGGTGGTCATCTCCAGCCGCCAGTATTCGCCAGCAGAGACGTTGGAACTTCGGGGAAGCGAGACTCCAGATGCAACACAACCGGACGTTAAGACGAAGGTCGGACGGATCGAGTCCGGGAACCTCCAACCCGGCACCAGCAGCAGCGGCCATGTGAGGGTCGTGCATCGGAAGGGATCCGTTCCGGCGGATGATCCGCTTCTACCGCAAGATCCCTGACTGCTGACCAGCGATCTCCAACTGAGCGTGCCGCAAGGGTTGATTGCCGGTTGACCTGTACAGCTGCACCGATTCCTGCAACTGCTCGAAATGTTTAGACACAATGCCTTGGAGAGTGGCATACGCTGCATCCTTCTCGGAGATGGAGGAGAACCGCGATCTCAGCGTCTTGATCCAAGACTTGCTGATTGTGGAGTTGAGCCTCACTCAATGCAGCCTCAGCCTTGTCTTGCTCAGCTTCAACAGCCCGAGCAAGTTTTGCCTCACTCAGGGCAACGGCTTTTCGCAGTGAAGCGAGGCGATTCACAGACTGTGTGGCAGCAGCCTCCAGCCGAGACACCTGCTGTCGTGCCGATGATAGCTGAGTGATAAGTTAACGTTGGGAGCGCAAGATTGTCCAATCGCTGAGTTACCGCGCGGTTCGCTTCTTGGGCAGCTGGATTGTCGGCTCTGAGATCACCGATGACCTGGGAATAATCAAGAGCGGCGTAGTTGCCTCTCAAGATTTCCAACAGCTCCTCCGCTGAAGTAGCATGCAGGATCGCTCGCCGCTGCGCGGGATCAGAAGACTCCACAGCAAGTGAGCCCGTAGGCCATGAGCCTCGCCAGGAAGGTCAATTCCTCCCGGCGCTCGTATTCCTGCTGAGTAACCATGGTCATGAGGGAGTCAAGACTCACTGGGGCAGCCGAGCTCGACTGGCTGGTGGCGCTCGAAGTGGTGGCGTCCGGCAAGCTCGGTGGACCAGGAGGGTGCGCGTGAGACGACTCCGTCGACTCCGCGTCAGACCCATGGGAAGTTGATAGGTCGACCAACCCAGCTTCATGCCGGTCGCTGACCCCACGAGCACCAACGGGTCGAGGAATCGACTCAGCGGACGCGCCTTCACCTCGACGAGGAGTTGGTGGAGAAGGATGGTGATGCGAGTTGTGCTGGCGAAATAGACGAGGAGCGTAAGGAGCTGCCAAGTGAGTAGCAGCAGAGACAGAAAACGTACCGAATAAGGTGGTGGAGAGCCGCGAGACGTCATCAGCCGAGTACGGACCAACGGTGGCAGAACCAAATGAAGGATTAAGACACTCACCAGCTCGGCTCGTATCATAACCGGGGCAGTTGTGGTATAGGGATTTCCAGAATTGCCCATACGCCAACCTACTTTAGATTAAGAATCGGCTCGGTCTGATAACCCAGAGCTTAGAAACAAAGGATCACGGTAAGTACTTAGCGATCCGTCCGGATGATGTTATCCGGATAGCCGCTGTGGTCAACGGTCGCCTGAACCCAGCGGAAGGGTGGGTAGAGATCCGAAACGACTACATTTCACTAGATATTTGTATGAGAAGCATAGGTTTAAATAGGGGGAGCCGAAAAGACTCCCAGAAGATAACAGAGCAGAATTTTCCTAGTCCAAGACACGTGTACACTCTTCCGGTACGTCCCTGCATAGGGCTGGATTTTGCCTGCCGTTGATACTCGAGAGGCATAGCTTGTAGGATATTGACTGGTAGCGCCAAGAGATTAGGTCGGTCCGGGTAGGACAAAGTGTCGCTACGCGCGAAAGAAAGCCCCGCAAACTCAGCGGGCCGGTTCATCGGATAGCCCGGGTGCCGTAACACTTCTAGCTGAGCAGCCTCTGCGCTCGGTGACCTGTAAAAGCGCTTGCGCGCCGTCGTCCATCCTTTGGTGGAGGTCACAGGGTTTGTGAACGAGTTCAGCCGAGCCAAACTCGGCGGAACCTCGGAAGTGCTCTGACTTGGTTAGTCGGAACCGAGTGGAAGCGAGCTACTCGCCTGTCCCGGCTGGGCCGAACCGCGAGGGGACCACCGTCTGCGTAGGCCATACAAGCGCCGACCTAACTCGGCGATTTGTTTTGGTTTGTTTAAGGAATCCACATCTGACGGTATTTTGTGTGTTCTACTACACCGAACCTGCTTATAATCCATTTTGCAGATACTTTTAGCATATCGAACAGCGGCCCAGCATCTGATCCGAAGTCGCGACAGAATCTCTGAACGTAGCTCGCAGTACCCAGGAACGATTGCAGCTCGCTGTGGTACGAGGTAATGGCCAGTCACGAAGTATTTTCACTTTCTTTGGATCGATTCGCACTCCTTTGCGTCCGACATAATCTCCTAGGAAGGGGATTTCATCCACACAGAAAACGCATTTGCTCTATTTAACGCATTTGCTCACTTTCACGTAAAAATGGTGTTTTTAAAGTCTCGTTAGTACGCGACCAAGCGCCTTCAAATGGGTGTCCAACGTTTGCGATCATGTATACACATCTATATCGTCGAAATAGCCCTGGAAAATATCAAGTCCAATAAGATACGGCGTATTCCTTCATTAAAGGTGGTCGGGGCGTTAGAGACCCATTGGTAACACTAGGTATTCGTAAGTGCCATCCGGGGTTTGGAAAACTGTATATGGTATATCACAGTATCTCATCCGGAATTGATAGTACCCACTCAACAAGTCCATACACGAATACCAATAGAAACCTTGCATTGTTTCGATGATATTATCTCTCCTTGGCATCGGAAGGGTTCTTCAGACTGTGTGCGAGCTCATAGCACGATAATCATGCACTATTCTCCAGCCAACAGGCTTTTTTACGTAGAATGTGGGCGCTCCATGAGGTGATTTAGAGAGGCGAATTAACCCAGCGCTACGCATTTCACGAGCCCAGTCCATTATTACCTTTTCTTAGACTGGAGACTGTCTCCACTATCGGCGAAATATCGCCTCCTTAGTGTCAACCTCCATCACATGTTCTCCATGTTGACGCGGTGGCAGGCACGACGGGAGCTTCTGCTGGAAGACTGCTTTGTGCATCAAAAGCACATGATAGACCGGCTGACTACGAAATATATCAATATCAACGACTTCGAGGGCTTCGCCATTTTCTTTTTCAGTTTTAGGTCGAATCACAAAGATGCACTCAATGCTTTCGACTTTCGTAACATGCGTCGAAATTGCTTCGACGTTATGTACTTTGTGGTACCCGAAGTTGTAGAATAGAATCCATGCTTGAAGTAGTCAATAGTCGGATCGTTTTTCTTTCGAGGTGACACAGGGTGTCGCTGACCTTCGATTTGCACAGCAGGTCGCTTAGGTTTGTGAAGTGTCTTTCCTTATTTCTTATTTTCTTTTTCTTGGATGAGCTAGTCAGCCCTTCCGAATCCTCCAGTGCACGCGGCTTCACCCGTTCATTTATTCAATCAACATCAGGATTTGCAGCTTTCAGCCATGGCATACCCAAAAGCAAATTCTGCTCCTCGGGTACATCAATGACGGGGAAGTCATTCGTGTACAGGTCGAAATTATCCATATATAACGTTAATCGAACAGTCTTAGTCGGTACAGTCATCGTTTGTTTTGCAGCAAGGGAGATTTTCATGTGGTCGTTGTGGTCGACAACATTTCCCCATAGTCCATTCGCCGTGATAAACCGCGGACTGACACCGTCCATCGTAACTCCACTGTCAATGAAGTTTGAATTTAAGATGCAAATGTCCTATGTGGAACGATGCACCGTACTCCGAGCATGCAACAAACAGAATAATTCACGCTTGGGTAGATATTTTTCTTGGATTTCATCATTTTGATCACCGTCATGTAGATTCACAGCACGTATCCCACGTGTAACGTCACACATGTGGTCTAGCAGCTCATCATTCTGTCGACTAGAGCGCTTGGCCTCCATTGGATAGTGTAGTTTAACTGCCTTTTTGTTGTGCAGCTGCTGCTAGCGCTGCAAGTTGCGTGATTTCTTCTCTGGATGAAATACCCAGCAGTCCTCAGTCCACGTCCGCAATGAGAGCAAATCGTACCGGCTAAAGCTTTTGTACCCTGCGCTGTTTCTCCAGAAGCATTGCCGCCTTTCACGTAATTACGCATGTTTTTGCCATTATTTGGTTTCTGGCCCGAAGCACCACTGCTGGCATTGCTTTGGTTGGCTGAAGGTGCTTTTTCTTGCAGTTCCCACTTAAGAAATCCTTCTTGAGCAGCTGCTGTAAGCGTGGTTGGCTGCTTGCGCTGGATGGCCAGCCTTACTTTCGTATTAGTCAGTCCGGTCACGAAAATATTGATCGCAGTTAATTCGTCGAGCTCCACTACGCGATGCAACTCCCACAACTTATTCACATAGCCGTGATATGCTCCAGTCTGCTTTAATCTCAATAGCTGGTTGCGCACTTTAGCCTGGAAATTGGGCTCGCGGAACTCTCGAATCATCTCACTTTTCATAACACTCCACAATTTTGTCGTTGTGTCGTCAGTCATGTAGCGCTCGTACCAAACCAAAGCGGTTTTACGAACGCACTGATTCAACTCACGAGGAAGGAGGTGATCATGCAACGCCAAATTGTAACCCTTCTTCTGAAAGTAGCTCTCAAACCGAAAAAGGAAAGAGTTAATCTTTATTCCTTCGATCTGACCCTCGAAACTTGGCGGACTCACGTCCATCTTGCGTAAATGTGGTGAAGCCGGCGATTGTCGGGGCACCCGGTACGGACGCCATGGCTACGTCCGCTGTGCCAACCCCAATTGGCTGATGCGGGTCAGGTGCGGTCGAAACGACAGGTGCAACAGTGTGCTGTGTTCTAGTACGATCTTCTCCGCCAATCTGTTGAGCTGCTGTTGCGGTTGCTTGGGTCTGGTTTAACGTGGCTGACATGTTCGGATATAGCTTGTACTGTACCAGATTTGCAAGTTGCCTTTTTATCTCAGTCATTTCCGTTCCGATGTTGCTGTTGAGATTTGTAAGCTCTGTTGTAGCTTTAACTCGAAGTGCCTGTTGTGCAGCAGTAAATTCACGCCTCAAATCTGTAATTCCAGTCTCCCGCTGGGTAAACCGTTGATGTGGCTCAGGTCGACCACGGTTCATGGCACCAGAAGCGCTATCCTCACGATTTCCGCTATCCAACTCCCAGAGACGACGTGCAGGTGCTGTGTCACTGCGCAACACGCGTCGAGCCGTATTACGAGTCGTCATCGCCATTAAGCTCTACTATGTCGCAGTATTAGGCTGTGCTCACTCGTAGAGAGCTCATGTAACGGGGTTACATGGTGTGGAGCACACAGGGGTACGAAGTACCCGGAGAGTTAACAAACTCTCAGTACATAAGTTGGAGAGCTAACAAGGTCTCTCAGTACGTTGGCCGAAAGCCACACGTTATGCATTTGATTAGGTTTAACTATGCTAGATAGTTAAAGAGATACATTTACCCCTAGGCGGCTTGGCCGCAATAATAGTAAATAAAACACTTCTGGTGTTGAAGCATAAAAGTTAAGGTGTTAACTTTGAGCCCTGGTCTTGGGCTGTAAGTGTCCTTTGGATAAGGAACTTAGTATTAGTGACTCTTTGAGTCGAACGTCTTCCTCTGACGCTAAAGCTACGGCAGCCCCGCTGCACTTGGTAGCACTTGTAGTCAATCCCGCTCCTGAGTCGGTTGACTATATCCTCTGCGAGGATGGAACACCCCGTGTTCGCGAATTTGCCCCCGGCGCAGCAGGACGCGCTTACTAAGCTTATGTCCTTGCTTGGCCCGGAGGGCGTGGCTCATCTTGCATCGCAAGGTCCAGAGGCGGTCACTGCCAGGCTGGAATCGTTCTCCCGCTACGAGAACGCGCTCTTGGAGCATGTCCAAGAGAAGATGAGCGCCGCAACGGCGGCGGCGTCGATGACGCGTGAAGAGTCTATGAGACTGAAACCGCTCATGGTGAGCGTAAAAACCTTCGAGGGGAAGGATGGAGAGAATCTCCTTCTCTGGACCCGTGAGGTCGAGATGGCCATGGGATCGGCCCTGCTCCAGTCTGAGCATCAGCGCGTGGCGCTGGCTATCTCCAGGCTTGGAGGTCGCGCTCGCGAATGGGCACTAACGTGCGGCACGTCTGTTGACGCTGCATTTCCCACTTGGGACCAGCTGAAGCAACAGCTTTCGCGCGTGTTCGCGCCGCCTAATCAGGCGTACCGTATCCGGTCAAAGTTCCTTGCTACCCGCCAGGGTAAGAAGGATTTATTGGACTATGTCCAAGAGTTGAGAACTCTTATCGCCGGAATGGCGGCGGACCCTCTTCCGGAACTGGTCAGCGTGACCGTGTTCATGGAGGGACTTCGTGTGAGCGCAGCTCGAACGGAAGTGTTCCGTGTACACCCTAACTCTTTCGAAGAGGCGGTGAATGTGGCATTGAATGCCGAGCACAACTTCAGGTCGGCTCGACCTGGTTGAGACGCTAGTAGCGCAAGCTCTTCGAGCGGTCCAGAGCCGATGGACCTCAGCTATGCTGAAGATGAAGAAGCGGAGCTTAGGCGCGGGGCGGCCTCCTGAGAGAGAACTGAGTTCTGTTGTGCCTCGAGGAGGTAGAGGGCAACAGGGCTCAGCCCCGAAGAGAGCTGAGCTCTCTTACGAAAAGTGTGTTTGCAAGCCGGGCTTGCTGGTCGTTCAAGCGAACGTGAAGGGCTTTGCAAAGCCATGGAGAGTCTTGATTGACTCGGGAGCCTCGGGGAACTACGCCCGTCGCTCCACCCTGGAAGGGAGTCAGCTGTATGCTGAGGCACTGGAAGTGCCAACGAGAGATACGATCTCTGTCCGTCTCGCGACGGGGACACTGGTAACTGTGTCGAAGGTCTCTGTCGACCTTGGAGTGAAGTTTGAGAACTTCGATAGCGTGGAACGCTGTTTGGTCTTAGACCTGGATGCGAGGTATGACCTCATCCTTGGCATGGCATGGCTGGAACGTCATGAGCCATGGATCGACTGGAAGTCGAAAACGCTGGGTGCGTCGCACCCTGCTCCTAGTGGAGCTTTGGTGAGTCATGAACCCACCTCTGCTAGGAAGCAGAAGCGCTTTTGGCGCGAGCACGAGGCCGAGGCGGCCGTAGTGCTGGACATTGGTATGTCCGAAATTGTTAGCAACGAGGTTGCTGTTTGCCCTGAGGGCGTACGTGGTGCGGCACGTTATCCGCGGAGCGGTGCAGGTCAGGTCAATGACCAACTGCTGGGTCCTGGTGAGGACGAGCGCGGAGTGGCGCGGTATCCACTGAGTGGTATGAATCTGGTCGATGACCTACCGCTGCGTGACCCGAGGGTCGCGGTCGACTGCGAGTCGAGGCATCATGGGCGTGGCCCAGGAGATGCAGGTGAAGTGACACCTAGTTCACTGTGTGAAGGTCACGAACCTCTTGGCTTTCAGCCGAGTGTCTTGCGAGACACTGTATCCTCTTCGAGGAGTGATGGTGCTGCTGCACCCGGTGGTGGTGACGGAGATGTCGCCACACCGCCCTCATCCGGCCGGGCTCGGTCGCGGAGGGAGAGGAGAAGAAGACGCAGGGCATCTGTGACGTCTTCGACGTCGGACGATGTGTCCAACGTGACGAGCGGTGATGCTCCACGTGATTGCTGTGAACAGCTGTATACACTCGTGAACGGAGTGACGGGGGAGCTAGAAGGCGATATCAGCCTTGATACTCTGCCCGCTGCAGATGCTCTGCTAGAGCTGGACGAGATGTCCATTGCCGAGTTCGGCGAAGCCTTAAAGGCAGGCGAGCTAGCCGAGGTGGTCTTGCTGGGACCTGAGGAGGAGTTGAACTCCTCATCCGTCGTGGACGACGCGGTCCTAGAGGACACCAAGAAGGCGCTGAGCGCAAGAAGTGGATCGGCGATCCTCAAAGATCCTTCGGATCCCTTCTACCCGGTGGTGAAGGAGTATGGAGACGTTGTCTCAAAAGACCCACCGACGGGCCTGCCTCCGGATCGAGGCGTGTGTCATGAGATTGACCTGGTTCCTGGAACCAAATACTGCGTAACAAGGCAATGGCCTTTGCCGAGAGAGCAGTGTGACGTCATTGACGCATTCTTCCGTGCGAAGCACGAGGCAGGGATGGTGCGTGAGAGTAAGTCTCCGCACTCGACACCCACGTTCTGTGTCAGAAAGCCGAACGGCAAGTGGCGCATTGTTCATGCTTTTAACAAGCTAAATGCGGCCACTATCCCGGCGCAAACGCCGATTCCTCGCAAGGATGTTCTGCAGAACAACATGGTAGGCTGTACGCTGTACAGCGCGCTCGACTTGGTCGATGGCTACTACCAATTGCTCATGAGAGCGAGCGACATTCCGCTGACAGCGGTGAGTACTCCGAGCGGTATGCTCTGGGAGTGGCTGGTGATGCCCCAGGGGCTGTCGAACGCACCAGCAACGTTCAATCGTCTTGTGACGCAGCTGTTTAGGCCCCACCGGGCGTACGCTCAAACGTACTTTGACGATATATTCGTCCATAGTCGTGCCGAGCACGGAAAGTCAGACGTGGATAACCACATTGACCACTTGCGAGCGGTGCTCGAGTGCATGCGCACTAATAAGTTGTATGCCAACTTGGACAAGTGCGTCTTTGGCGCGGAGGAGATACCTTTCCTCGGGTGCTTCATTGGGAAGCGTGGCTTACGGGCCGATCCTGCCAAAGTCAAGGCCATCGTGGACTGGCCGGTTCCCAAGAACCAAAAAGACTTACGCAAGTGGCTAGGCTTAGCCAATTACTTGCACAAGTACAGTGCGAACTACGCGGAGATGGCTCGGCCATTATCAGATCTCCTTAAGAAGGACGCACCATGGTGCTGGAACGTCGAGCACGACGGAGCCTTTGAGGCTGTGAAGGAGAGCCTTCTCCAGGCTCCGATCCTTGCGCTACCGGACCCGGATAGTCCGTTTAGCGTCGTCTGTGACGCCTCTGATTTTGCAATCGGTTGTGCTTTACTACAAGCAGACGCCGAAGGGCGTGAACGCGTGATCGCGTTTGAGTCTCGCCAGCTCAAAGCTGCAGAGAAGAACTATCCAGTTCATGACAAAGAGCTACTTGCAATGAAGTATGCTCTAGTCAAATTCAGGGTACACCTGCTAGGCTCTAAGCCTTTTGTGATCTTTACTGATCATGCGTCGTTACGCACTGCGACACAGTCGCCTCATCTCTCTCAGAGAATGGCAAGATGGCTTTCCTTCTTTGCCGAGTATAACTTCGAGGTGAAGTACAAGCCGGGGCGGCTTAATGTAGTGGCCGATGCGCTCTCGCGCAGGCCGGACTACGAGTTAGCTCATGTCACGACAGTGACGTCGTCAGTGCCTGACTTGATACGCGGAGCGTATGCACAAGACGACATGTGCGTAGCGCTGCTACGGGCTCTTGGGAGCGAAGAGTTTAAAGACTCTGACAAGGAATTGTCTGGGCGCTTACGCGCGAGGCTGCATCGATACTCACTCGATGGCGGCCTGCTGTACTACAGCACCGACGCTGAGGATAACCCTCGTGTAGTCGTTCCTCATGATGAGGATCTAAAGTATCGAATCCTCTATGAGGTTCATGATACGCCCGTGGGCGGGCACTTAGGTCGGGAGAAGACCTATAGCTCGGTGAGCTCGATGTACTGGTGGCCCAAGATGTATAAGTGGGTCGGCACCTATGTACGCACGTGTGAGACGTGTCAACGGACAAAGTCCGCGCCGAGCACGGCAGCGCCATTGGCGAGTTTGCCTGTCCCCAAGGGATGCTCGCAGTCCATGAGTATGGACTTTGTGTTTGGCCTTCCCAAGGATAAGGCGGAAAACACAAGTATAGTGGTCTTAGTAGACCGATTGAGCAAGATGGCTCATTTAGCGGCAGTGCCGGACACCATTGATGGCGAAGGTACAGCTTTGCTGTTTTTAGACCGAGTCTTTCGCCAACATGGCTTGCCTGAGGCAATTGTCTCGGATCGAGATCCGCGCTTCACCGCGAAGTTCTGGACGTCCCTCTTCAGAGTGCTCGGCACTCGTTTGGACATGTCCACGGCGGACCATCCGCAGACCGATGGTCAAACCGAACGCGTGAATCGCGTTGTGGAGGATACCCTCCGAAGCGTATGCGCTGAGGCGCCAAAACGCTGGAGCCAGATGCTCCCACTCGTTGAGTTCGCATTAAATAATGCAGTGCACGCCTCGACAGGCTACACTCCGTTCTATGTG